TGTAGGGTTTTTATCATAAATGTATGTTGGATTTTGTCAAATGCCTTTTCTGCATCTATTGAGATGATCATATGGTCTAACTCACTTCCTTATGTCTACGTGTCTGTTCTGCACCTTTGGCCAAATCGGCACTCAGTTGATTGATGATGAATTAAAGTTTTAAAATTTTATAATAATGAAATTATGTTTTCTGCAATACTTCTACTCTTAGTCATTATCAAAGATGATCAAGGACCTGCAGCAGTAAGAATGGACAGAAACTAAGTGAAGTGGCACACTCCTGTAATCCCAGCACACTGGGAGGCTGAAGCAGGAGGATTGCAATTTTGAGCTCAGCCTGGGCAACTTAGCAACCTACTCAGACTTTGTCTCAGAGAGAAAGGGATTGGGGGAGGAAAGGAAGAAAAGTTAAGGAAGGGAAAGGAAGGGAGCATGATAGGGAGGGAGTGAGGGAAGGAAGGAAAGAAGGAAGGAAGGAAGGAAGGAAGGAAGGAAGGAAGGAGTAGGAGTAGGTAACTCAGTAAGCAGGGCCTGAGTTAAATCCCCAGTACCACAGAAAGAATAAATAAATAAATAATAAAGAGTAGGCAGGCCTGTACTTTATAAATTAATTAAGCAAAACTTTGGGCACTTAAGAACTTATGATTTAAATAAAGAATGGTTTATTATATGTTGATTCAAATTTATTATATTTAGATTTCTGTTTTGAGACATATTTTGGGTTTCACAAGATGATAAGATATACTTTTTAACTTTTTTCTTTTTTTACTCTTTTACTGTATGAATAAAAACAATAAAATTTCATAACAAAATAAGAGAATAACACATTTAATATACTGTGTATTGTTATCTTCAAAGTAGTTACTCAGAGTATAAGATATAAACCTACAAGATTCTTGCAAAAAAGAAACAAATGGATAACACAGTATTTTTTTAATGAACTAAGACAAACTACTAGTATAAATGGAACTAATTCGCATATATTAAAATATTTTTGAAACAATGGAATATGTATTTTGGGAAGTGTTTGAACTTCCTATTTCCTAATTATCTCTCTTCTATTTTGCTCTTTTATTTTTAAAAAAGATAAATTGATTTTTATTGTTACATTTAACATACTGTGAATATTATATTCAGATCAAGGAGTTGTTGCCTTTTCATCTCAATGGAATTCTGTGATAAAGGGACATTGGAGAAATGGATTTACCAAAGGGAAAAAAGCAATCCAGACAAAGCTTTGGCTTTGGAATTCTTTGAGCAAATAACAACAGGAGTACAATATATACACTCAAAAAGCATAATTCATAGAGATCTTAAGGTAAGTGGAAATTTTTCCGTATTAGTTGATAAATATAACTTAGTAATTTAAAAATCTATCTTCTCTAGTTTTAGAATTGTGCTTTATCAGTAGTCATGGCCAAATAGTGCCTCTGATCCTCTGAGATTAAAATAGGCCCAAAACATGGCCCAACTCCTATTCCATACAACTACTCAGAGGACCTCCCGGGTGGATGGCCTTACTGTGACAATGAGCCAAGGCTCATTCACTTCTGCTTCTGGTTAGTGACAGTCACCCCCTGGTTGTAAATGCTAACTGCTTTTGTATATAGGGAGAATTTCTGTGCAAGTGATTGTTGTAGCTGGCACAGCCAGCTGGCTGCTCTGTCCCTATGACTGCTGTTGCCTGTGGCTTTGAGAGCCCGGCTCCCTAATCTGATTATCCTGAGGGCAGTCATAGCTACTGGGTCCAGAGTCTAGGATATTTTTTGTTTGGGCCTTTCAGGTTCAAAAAGGGGTGAGATGTACCATGTACAGGTGCAAATTCCCTATGATGAGTGTTATCATTATGTATGCCTAAAATGTACCAATAAATATTATGCTATATAAAAAAGAAAATTGTAGTAATTCAAAATTTGGGACATATATCATTCTTAGTATTGTCTTCTGCTTTTCATAGTCTAACGTGCAGTTTCCCTTGTCATCAAACCAAAGAAGAGACACAGAATAGCTTCTCACAGTCTCTCCTCTATATTCTTCTGCTGTGAGTTGCCTCCCTCATCACAAACCAGCCGTACCGACTCCTCCCCCTGAGCCTTTGCACCTGTCCTCTTGCAGACTCTCTCTGCACTGTGTCCTCTGCCCTCATTTCTTTTTGGTCTTTCCTGACCACTTTGGATTTTGCCCTCTTCTCTTCTAGGCAGAAGCACCTCATCCATGTGGGTCTCAGCTATCTGCTTACCCTACCTCTCTAAAACAGCCAGGAACAAGGAAGAAAGCAAAAAACTTTCTAAGGAAATTGTGTGCCCAAGTGAATAGTTGGACTAAGTAGTGCTTAATACATAGGACTAAGTAGTGGTTAAACAATACTGCTTCTTTGGTCTGCCCCAAAGCTGGATGTCTTAACACCTTGATGTTTGCACCCTCCTGGTTCTAATAGTTCTCTTTAATGATATCTGAAAGTGTTCTTGGAAATTAGAACATTAGGATTTGCTCAGAAGGATAAATTTACTAGACTGGCTAAACCTTCACTTTGGGACAAATCATGAATAGAGTAAAATAAATAATTAATCACTGTTATTTGTATATGTATTCATTTACAAATAAATACAGAAGTTTGGGTGTTACTTCCAGGCCCTCCTCCCAATGAATTAGTGCAATTCTGGCTGGTGCCTCACCATGCATTTGCCAACTCCCTGAATCCTGCACTGACTGTATCCTGTGTCATGATGTCATCTTGTCTTGTGTTTATTTTTAGGGAAGTTTTGCTCTGGCTGCAGTTACTTTGAGGTCAGACTTTAATGCTGAGTCTTCTTTCCTTTACAACTTTCCTAGCTTTCTCTGCTACAGTGCTGCTTTCTCTTATCTGAGAGAAGATGCTAATGAAGGTGTGTATGTTTTGGGTTATGCTTTGCAGATTTCAGCTTGTAGGTGGCTTTGCCAGAGAATGGTCTTTACACCAGAAAGCCTCTCATATGTAAAGAATCTAAGTGTTTACTACTTTCTATCAGGATCTTAAGAACTGGTCAGAAGGCTCCGATGAGTCATAAAAGGCTTGCTGCCTGAGGCTGCTTCTTGGTAGAAGGTGTCTCCTACTAGGCCAGCCTCTGGTCAGCCTCAGCCTGAGCCTCAGCCTACATTTCACACCCTTTTATAGTGCTCTGTAATGTTTTCTGGAGCCATACTATAACTAAACAAAATGTGCTATTCTTTTTCTTTTTAATGAACTGTAAAAAGCAATCTGATATTTTTACTAGTCTCATCCATTTTAGATCTTCAGACAGCATCATAAATTCAGCTTCCTGTCTCTCAGAGTCAGGTGTGACCTTATGTGGGGTAACAGTGTCACCTGTAAACGCATTTTTTCTATGCTGTAACTTGATTGTAGCACAGGAACATTTTCTCTCCACGTTCACCACACACACACACACACACACGCATCCTTGCATCTGTATTATTGGCATTAGGTTCCAATATTTTAATTAAACTCTAATCTTATTGCCAATTCCTACACTGGGCCTCTCAGGCTGGATTTTCAGAAGCTTCCTTCAGGTTACCCTGGGCTTTGATCTCTTCCTTTTCAGTTCCTTTACCAAGTTGTCTTATAAGTGTTATCCCACAGGGTTTGTGTATGTAGAAACCAACACTGTGTTGAAAGTCTTGCTTTTGCAATAGTGGCAAAATATTAATTTTCTCTTCAACAACTTTCCTGTTTTTGTGGTTTCTTTCCTTTGCTGCTTTTTTTGCGGGGGAGAGGCATCAGTGGGGATTGAACCTAGGGCCTAGAACATGGTAGGCAAATGCTCTACTGCTGAGTTACAACGCCAACCCTAGTGTGGTTTTTTTGGTCCTGACTAATACCTTCCGCAAAGCTGTACAATAGTAACGATCACCCTTCAGTCACTTCCTTTTTCTCCTTAAAATTTGCTTAATGAATTGCATGAAAAATGTATTTTGTGCTAGTTATCAGTTTCCCTTTAATTTAGTATGCTTTCAAGGTCGGTGAGATATGCTTATGAAGAAGTTGGCAAAGGCCTGGAGAAAGTAACTTAAAGGAAGCCCCTGGGAGTATTTCTGCACAGGATGCTCTGCAGCATTGTTAGGAATGAACCCATTCAGAGAATCTCAAAGTTGGACAGTGTCTTAAGGGCGTCAGCTTCAGTCCCCATCAAACCCTCCATTTATATTTGCATCATTTCCTCAAGTGAATGTCTAACTTCTCCTGGGACGGAGAACTCTCTAACTCTTATTCTTTGAACCACACATTTAGTCTATTAAGATATATTAAAGCAAATCTTTTGATCATGTCCACCTTCTGGTCCTGAATCCATCCCCTGGGGCCCTGCAGAGTGAACCTGTTTTTCACCTGACAGCTGTTGAGGCAGCTGTGCCACAAATTACCTCTGCTGTCAACTTTAAAGTTCTTCCTTGCTCCACTGGGCATTTTAAAGACCGTAAAGCTGACTTGAGCTACCCGTATAAGGGTAAATGTTGTACAAGTAAAAACCTCAAAGTTTTTATAAGATGATGTGGTAATAGTCTGTCAGATTGGTAAATATAAAGTATTGTTTTCCCCCACAGCCAGTTAACATATTTTTAGTAGATGAAAAACAAGTAAAGATTGGAGACTTTGGACTTGCCACAACCTTGGAAAATGATGAAAAGCGAACGAGAGATAAGGGAACTATGAGGTACATGAGCCCAGAACAGGTAAGCCCCTTTCCTTTCTGTCTCCCTGTATTCCACTTCTTTAATTTTTTCACTCTTTTATTGAGTATAATTGAAAAACAAAATCATATATATTTAAGATGATCGACAACCTTCCTGTTTTTGTATTTAGCATTTTTGAGATACATGTGAATTGTGAAATGATTACTACAATCAAGCTATATTAAAAGATTCATCACCTCAGTACTTACAGTCATTCTTAACGTCCTCTGCTTAGAAAGATTTTGTAATAGCACAAGCCAAAAAATAGTCTTAAACAGAAAGAAAAATGTGCTCAGGAACTCACTCACAAAGACAGATTAAAATAGTTAAGTGAACTCCATTCTAGACAATTTCTTGATATCATGACACATTAATGCACTTTGCGGGGGGTACCAAGGATTGAACTCAGGACCTTGCGCTTGCAAGGCAGGTGGTGGCCATTAATGTATTTTTGAAAATGAAAAATTGGCAATGGCATATATACTGTTTTGTAACCTTCTATTTCATTAACAGGGTGTTGTGGACATCTTTTTACCTCAATAAATTCACGTCAACATAATAATCCTTGCTGTTGTCATTAATAATCTCTTACTGTTATAATTAATAACTTTTTTTTGTACTGGGTATCAAACTCAGGGCCTTGAGCTTGCGAGGCAGGTGCTAAATCCCTGGGCCATAATTAATAATTAATAACTTTATAACCATTCTTCCATTTCCCTCTTTGCTTTCCCCTTATTCCCTTCCTCTTTTCTAATAACAGTCTCCACTTTTATGTCATCTTTTTTAGATTCCACATTTTAGCAAAAATATGTGACACTTATCTTTCTGAGTCTGGCTTATTTCTCTCCAGTTCCATCCATTTTCCCCCAAAGGACGTAATTTTGTTCTTCCTTATGGCTGAATAATATTCCACTGATAGATACATGATTGATTGATTGACAGATAGATAGATATCACAGTTTCTTTATGCATTCATTAGCTGATGGGTGTTTAAGCTGCTTCCATATACTGGCTGTTGTGAATTATGCTGCAATAAACAGAGGTATGCAGGTAACTCTCTAGTACACTCACTGTAATTCCTTTGAATGTATACCATGGAGTGGGGTAGCTGGGTCATCTGTCATTCTACTTTTAGTTTTTTGAGGAACCTCCATGCTAATTTACATAGGGGCTGCACTTATTTACATTCCTGCTAGCAGAGTAGAAGTGTTCATTTTACCCAGCACCCTTGCCAATATTTAGTGTTTTTTGCATGATAGCTATTCTGACTGTGGTGAGAAAGAATCTCAATGTAGTTGTGATTTTCATTTATCTAATGGCTAAAGATATTGAACATTTGTAATATATTCACTAACCATTTATACTTAATTGTTTTCAGAAGTATTTGTTCAATTCATTTGCACATTTATTGATTGAGCTATTAAACTTTTTGAGGTTAAGTTTTTGGAATTTTTAAGATATATTCTAGATGTTACAGTAATTCTCTGTCAGAAGAGTAGCTAGCAAAATTTTCTCCCATTCGGTAGGCTATCTCTTCACTTTTTTAGCTGTTTCCCTTGTTGTGCAGAAACTTTTAATTTGATACAGTCCTATTTGTTGATATTCGCTATTATTTCTTGTGCGGTTTGAGTCCTATTCAGGAAGTCTGTGCCTGTGCCTATGGCTTAAAGTGTTTCCCTTATGCTTTCTTCTAGCTGTAGCAGAGTTTCAGATCTTGATCCATTTGCAATTGATTTTATACAGGGATGTACAGGGATGTAATTTCAATCTTTTATACTACACGTGGATATCCAGTTTAGAAAGCGCCATTTGTTAAGGAGGCTATCTTGTCATCAACACATGTTTCTGCCTCCCTTGTGAAGAATCAGTTGACTCTGGGGTGCGGTGGTGCATACTTGTAATCCCAGCACTTGGGAGGCTGAAGCAGGAGGACCACCACGAATTTGATTGGGTTAGTGAGTTCGAGGCTAGCCTGAGCTATGTAGTGAGACTCTGTCAAAAAAAAAAAAAAAAAAAAAAGACTCAGATGAATGTAGTTGCATGGGATTGTTTCTGTGTCTTGTATTCCATTCCATTGACCTGTGTGTCTATTTTTGTGCTGGTACAATGCTGTTCTGTTACTCTGGCTTTGTTGTATAATTGAAGTTGAGTATTGTGTTGCCTCTGGCCTTGTTCTTTTTTTATGTAGAATTGCTTTAGCTCTTCTGGATCTTTTGTGTTTCCATATGAATTTCGGGATTTTTTTTTCTAATTCCGTGAAGAGTGTCATTAGAATTTTGATGGAGACTGCATTGAATCTGTAAATCATTTTTGGTAATATGCTATTTTAACAAAAGTGACTGCTGATCCAAGAACAAGGGATGTCTTTCCATCATCGAGTGACTTTTTACTTTCTTCAGTGTTCTGTAACTTTCACTGTAGATGAAATTTCCTTGGTTAGGTTGATCCCTAAATATTTTTTTAAGCTATTGTGAATGGAATTGTTTTCCTGACTTCTTTCTCAGTGGGATCATTATTGATGTACAGAAGCACTATTGATTCTTGTGTGTGTGTTGATTTTGTGTCCTGTTACTTTGTTGAATTTGTTTCTTAGTTCTAAAAGTCTTTTGGTGGAGTCTTTGGGATCTTCTAAGTATAGGATCACACTCTTTGCAAATAAGGATGATTTAATTTCTTTTTTTCCTACTTATTAGCTCTTTCATTTCTTTCTCTTAATAGTTGCTCTAGCCAAAATTTCAATATTAGATTGAATAGGAATAATGGGAGAGAACATCCTTGCCTAGTTCCTGCTTTTAAATACTTTCAGTTTTTTCCCAATCAGAATGGTTTTGGCCCTAGGCTTCTCATATATGACCTTTACTGTACTGAAATATGATCACTCAATACCTAGTTTCCTCGGGGTTTTTTTTTTAATCATAAAGCAATATGCGATTTTGCCCAAGGCTTTTTCTGCATTAAGTGAGGTAATCATGTGATTTATCCTTAATTTTATTGATATGGTGTATTATGTTTACTGATGTGTGTATGTTGAACCATCTGTGCATGCCTGAATGAAACCAACTTGATCCTGGTATATGATCTTTTTTTTTTTTTGGTACGGGGGATCGAACTCGGTTCCTTGCGCTTGTGAGGCAGGCGCTGGAACCACTGAGCTAAATCCCCAGCCTGATCTTTTTAATGTATTGTTGAATTCAGTTTGCAAGTATCTTATTAAGGATTTTTGCATCCATGTTTGTCAAAGTTATGGGAAATACTAGTTTTCTTTTTTGTGTGTGTCCTCTGTTTTGGAATCAGGGTGCTATTGGCTTCAAAGAATTAATTTGGAAACATATCTTCCCTTCTTGTTTCATGGAATAGTTTGAGAAGCACTGGTGTTAGATTTTACTTAAAGATCTAGTAAAATTGAGGGTGAACCTGTCTGGTTCTGGTTTTTTCTTGGTTGGTAGATGTTTTATTATTGTGTCAATCTCATTATCTGTTACTGATCTATTTAAATTTTAAAATACCAGCTTGATTCAATTTTGGTGGGTCATATATGTCTAAAAGTTATCCATTTCTCCCAGATTTCAAACTTATTAGAATATAGGTTTTCAGAATAATCTTAATGATTCTCTGGATTTCAGTGCTGTCTGTTGTAGTGTACTCTTTTTCATCTCTAATTGTCTCTCTCTCTTTCTCTCTCATTAATTTGGCTCAGGGTTTTTCCCTTTTATTTATCTTTTCAAAGAACCAACTTTTTGTATCCTTAATCCTGTATATTGTTCTTTTAGTCTCTATTTCACTAATTTCAATTCTGACCTTTCCTTCTGTCTAGTTTTGTTTTGTTCTTGTTTTTCTAAGACCTTGAAATATATCATTAGGTTATTTACTTGAGATCTATGAATTTTTTTTTCTGTAGACACTCAGAACTTCAAATTTTCCTCTTAGAACTGATTTTGCTGTGTGCCAGAGATTTTTGGTTTGCTTTGTTTTCATTTTTATTTGATTCTAGAAATTTTTAGATTCCTTCCCTGATTCTTCAGTGACTTTTTTTTTGTGGGGTGGGGGTTAACCAGGGATTGAACTCAAGACCTTGCTCTTGCGAGGCAGGCAGTGGCACCATTGAGCTAAATCCCCGGCCCTCTCAGTGACTACTGATTGTTCAAAAGTGAATTGTTTGATCTCCGTGTGTTAGTATAGTTTTTTTGCTGTAGATTTCTAGTTATATACCATTATGATCTGATAAGATGCAAGAAATTGTTTCAACTTTTTTGTACTTGTTAAAGCTCTTATTGTGGCCTAAAATATGATCTATTTTATAAAACATTCCATATTCTTCTGAGAAGAATATATATTCTGTAATTGTTGTATGGCATGTTATAGCGACATCTATTAAATTCGTTTATTCTATGTTATAGTCTAATTCTAATATTTCTTTGTTGTTTTGGTCTAGGTGACCTATTAACTGGTGAGAATGGAGTCACCCACTATTACTGTATTGAAACCTATACCCATTTATGTTGAGTTGTGTTTGATTTATGAAATTGGGTGCATCAATGTTCAGTGCATATGTATTGTTCTAACTTCTTAGTAAATTGTTCCCTTTACCAGTATGTGCTGACCTTTGTTGTCTTTTCTAATTTGTCTTGAAGTCTGCTTAGTGAGAAGTGAGTATAGCTATTTCTGCTTGTTTCAGATTCAGTTAGCATGGAATATTGTTTTCCATCCTTTCACTTTCAGTCTACGGATGTCTTTGTTTGGAAGGTGTATTTCTTGCATGTAGCAAAGAGTTGGGTGTTGTTTTTTAAATCCAATCTGCCAGTTTGTGTCTTTTAATTGGAGAATTTAAACTATAAACATTCAGAGTTACAGAAAGCTTTATATTAATTCCCATCATTTTGTTGCTTTTCTAATACTCATTCCTAATTTTCAATAGCTAATCTGTGCTTTCTCTTCTGTGTATAAGATTCTTTTAAGTATCTTCTGTAATGCTCATTAATTTATTTAGTTTATGCTTATCT